AACACCTACAGACATGCAAGGACTACTGAAAACAACCGAAATAATATCCATCAACATTGAGTTCCAGATGAACAAATGCAAAGTTCTACATATAGAATGAGGAAAATGGAAAATAAACGAAATAGAGAAAACCCCGAGTGATGAAAGGGTAGAACAAATGGAAGTACATGAAATGTATAAATACCTCATAGACAACTACAAGGAAAGACTAAGACTATACTCCTCAAAACCCATCTGAACTCAAGAAACCTATTCAAAGCCATCAACACTTCGCAATGCCTGTCCTTACCTACTCCTTTGGTATAAATAAATGGTCCACGACAGACTTGGAGAATATACATATTCTGATGGGATCACAATTGATAAAACACAGAAAATTGCATCCAAATTCCTGCAAGGAAAAGGTAACATTGAAACGAAACCAGGTAGGTAGATGAATGGCAATGGCAGTCCTTCACGAACTGCATCCTAAGCAGAATGACACACTGAGAATGTACTTCCATAATAGAGAACACCCATTACACAAAGCTATAGTAAAAATCGACAAAAACTATATACTCTTTAACTTAGCAGCGGAAGTACACTATACTACAGAAGAAAAGTTATAAAAATGGTCAAGTAAATAACAATGTAAATCAGGAACACATCGGTAAAAACTGAACAAATGTGTTCCTAAAAAAGGGCCAGCTACACCCTGACACATAAGGATTGGTCCTGGCAATATGTATAGGATCAAGTGATAGCAACCTAAAATTATAGAACATATATCATAAAGGATGGCTCTTTAGAAAATGTCAACTACTTCCTGAAACAATAGACCACATAATATCTGGGTGTAAAGCTCAGATTGTGTGAAGTGTTGGCAGGTAATAGACACTTTAAGTAAATCCTAGATTTTTCTACGTATCCGTATCTGCATCCGTAAACGCATCGACTTACGTTGACCGTATCCTTAGATGAAACCGAGATGAAACGATTTTTCTAACCTTAAAAAGTGTTGTATTGATTTTGTAGCTGTGTTCGTAAGTTTTCTTTTTATCTGTAAGTACTGGTTTATGTTATTCAAGTTATTTTAGTGATAACTAAAGCCCATCTTACAATGGACGTAACGTAGCCGTAAAGACGTAACATAAGTCAAGCATGCGCACATTTAATTTATTTGCATCAAATATGTTACTGGAAACGTAACGTAAGAAAAGATGAGAATAATTCAAATTTTGATTATTTCTGACTCTTGATTCGTTTAGAAATTGAATTTTCGATTATTTCCGGCTCATGATTAGTTTCAAATTTTAATTATTCCTGACTCTTGATTGGCTTAGAAATTCAAATTTTAAATATTCTTGGCTCTTGATTGGCTTCCAAAATCAGTTTTTCAATTTTCCCGGCTCTTGATTGGGTTTAAAATTTGAATTTTGATTATTCCTGGTTCTTGATTGGCTTTGAAATTCAAATTTTGATTATTCCTTGCTCATGATTGGTTGATAAATTTAATTTGTGATTATTCCCGGCTTTTGGTTGGCTTAAAAATTCAAATTTTGATTATTCCCGGCTCTTGTGATTGGCTCTGAAATTCAATTTTTGAATTTTCCCGGCTCCTGATTGGGTTTAAAATTCAAATTCTGAATATTTCTGGCTCTTGATTGGCTCTGAAATTCAAATTTTGGATATTCCCGACTCATGATTGGTTTAGAAATTGAATTTTTGATTATTCCTGACTTTTGATTGGCTTCAAATTTTGAATATTCCCGGCTCCTAATTGGCTTAAAAATTCAAATTTTGAATATTCCTGGCTCTTGATTGGATTCCAAAAACAATTTTCAAATATTCCCAGCTCCTGATTGAGTTCAAAATTCAGACATTGATTATTCCTGGCTCTTGATTGGCTTAGAAATTCAAATTTTGAATATTCCCGGCTCTTGATTGACTTTCAAAGTTAATTTTTGAATTTTCTCGGCTCTTGATTGGCTTCATTTTTTGAATATTCTCTTGATTGGCTTAGAAATTCAAATTTTATGTATTCCTAGTTCTTGCGATTGGCTTCCAAAGTCAATTTTTAAATTTTCCCGGCTCTTGATTGATTTTAAAATTCAAATTTTGATTATTCTCGGCTCTTGATCGGGTTTAAAATTTGAATTTCTAAGCCAATCAAGAGTCGGAAATATTCAAAATTTGAAGCCAATCAAAAGCTGGGAATAATCAAAAATTCAATTTCTAAACCAATCATGAGCCAGGAATATTCAAAATTTAAATACCAGAATCAATCAAGAGCCAGGAATATTCAAAATTCAATCTTGAACCCAATCAATAGGAGTCGGGAAAATTCAAAAAGTGATTTTGGAAGACAATCAAGAGCCGGGAATATTCAAAAGTTGAATTTCCAACCCAATCAAGAGTCGGAAATATTCAAAATTTGAAGCCAATCAAAAGCTGGAAATAATTAAAAATTCAATTTCTGAACCAATCATGAGCCGGGAATATTTAAAATTTGAATTTCAGAACCAATCAAGAGCAAGGAATATTCAACATTGAATCTTGAAGCCAATGAATAAGAGTCGGGAAAATTCAAAAAGTGATTTTGGAAGACAATCAAGAGCCGGGAATATTCAAAATTTGAAGCCAATCAAAAGCTGGGAATAATCAAAAATTCAATTTCTAAACCAATCATGAGCCGGGAATATTCAAAATTTAAATTTCAGAACCAATCAAGAGCCAGGAATATTCAAAATTGAATCTTGAACCCAATCAATAAGAGTCAGGAAAATTCAAAAAGTGACTTTGGAAGACAATCAAGAGCCGGGAATATTCAAAATTTGAATTTCCAATCCAATCAAGAGTCGGAAATATTCAAAATTTGAAGCCAATCAAAAGCTGGAAATAATTAAAAATTCAATTTCTAAACCAATCATGAGCCGGGAATATTTAAAATTTGAATTTCAGAACCAATCAAGAGCCAGGAATATTCAAAATTGAATCTTGAACTCAATCAATAAAAGTCGGGAAAATTCAAAAAGTGATTTTGGAAGCCAATCAAGAGCCGGGAATATTCAAAATTTGAATTTCCAATTCAATCAAGACTCGGAAATATTCAAAATTTGAAGCCAATCAAAAGCTGGGAATAATTAAAAATTCAATTTCTAAACCAATCATGAGCCGGGAATATTCAAAATTTAAATTTCATAACCAATTAAGAGCCAGGAATATTCAAAATTGAATCTTGAACCCAATCAATAAGAGTCAGGAGAATTCAAAAAGTGACTTTGGAAGACAATCAAGAGCCGGGAATATTCAAAATTTGAATTTCCAATCCAATCAAGAGTCGGAAATATTCAAAATTTGAAGCCAATCAAAAGCTGGAAATAATTAAAAATTCAATTTCTAAACCAATCATGAGCCGGGAATATTTAAAATTTGAATTTCAGAACCAATCAAGAGCCAGGAATATTCAAAATTGAATCTTGAACTCAATCAATAAGAGTCGGGAAAATTCAAAAAGTGATTTTGGAAGCCAATCAAAAGCCGGGACTATTCAAAATTTGAATTTTAAATCCAATTAAGAGCCGGGAAAATTCAAAAATTGACTTTGGAAGCAAATCAAGAGCCGGAAATATTTAAAATTTGAATTTCTAAATCAATCAAGAGCCGGTAATATTCAAAATTTGAAGCCAATCAAGAGACGGGAATAATCAAAAATTCGATTTCTGAACCAATCATGAGACGGGAATGTTTAAAATTTGAATTTTGAACCCAATCAAGAGTTGGGAAAATTAAAAAACTGGCTTTGGAAGCCAATCAAGAGCCGGGAATATTCAAAATTTGAATTTCTAAGCCAATCAAGACCCGGGAATGATTAAAAATTGAATTTCTGAACCAATAAAAAGCCGAGAAAATTCAAAAATAAACCAATCAAAAGCCGGGAATAATCAAAATTCAAACTCCTAAACCAATCAAAAGCCGGGAAAATGCAAAATTCGACTTCCAAGCCCGACGGGAAACTAAATTTTTTTACCAAATGCTGCTACAAACGAATTCAATACATTTTCATATAACAAGTGTTGCCACATAAAATCTCACCCTAAAGACCCACTAAAAAGAACTAGCCCCTAAACGACTGGTTGCTACACTTTCGCTCCTGTTGCTCCACTTTTTCTTTTTAAAAATGTTGCTACATAAGTTCATTGAAATGTTGCTGTAAACCTACTAAAACTACTCCCAACGATTGTTTTGCTACACTTTTTTTTCGGGTTGCTACATAAGAAATTCAACAAACTCCTGGTCTGAGCAAAAACTATCCCACAAACTTGGGGAATTATCTTTAAATGAAAAACAGACTTTATTCTGCGCATGCGCAGATTGATGCGGATACGGATACGTTTGAAATTCAGGATAATTTTATTAATTTCTGCTTAAAGTGTCTATTGAGTACACCAATAGACGTAACACATTCGCAAAAATAATTCGTCAAGCAATTGCACTGAAATATAAACTTCATGATAACAGAAAATAGAAACTACAAACTATACTGGGTCCTAGCAATATATACGGATAAAACGGTTATGCACAACAGATCAGATATAACTTTTCAGGACAAAACAAAGAAAACTACCTATCTAATAGACATCACTGTGCTGGGTGACCATAACACCTCCAAAAAATACACCAAAATGAAAACAAAAATATACAAAAATATACAAAAATATCAACAACTAGCTATAGAAGTGGAAAGAATCTGGAAACAGCAACAAGTGCAAATTATTCCTTTTATCATCTCAGCAACGGGTATCACGCCAAACATATTCATTTAACACCAGGGTTTCAATGAAAACATACACTCCCAAGCTCAAAAAGCCACTATACTACAAACTTGTAATATCACAAGAACTTTTCTCAACCAGAAGTGACCTTTCCTTCAATGGAGTCGGCAATTGCCTGTCGATACTAGAATAAAAATCTGTGAAGCAAAAAAAAATAATAATAATAATAATGACTTTTTTTTTCAGCCCAATCGTAAATACTACCTTGAAGATCCAGAAGGTTACGCCCTAGAATGGTGCAAAGCTATCGATCAAGTCAAAGAACACTATTTTCCTTCGGAGCAGGCTCTAAAGGATTAATATCGAAATACTTAGTCAAATTATTTATTTTGTGTGTCTGGTACGTTATGGTCAAATTTTAGGTGCAATTTATTATTGATGCTGCCATAAATATTAGTTTTTTGTTTAAAGACAAATGTAATTTATTTACAAATATATACCAGATGCACTTTAACGGTTAAGGCATAATCCAAAAACAAAATTCTCGTTTTTTGATTGCTGAATGTTAAAATTTACATTTTTTTCGAAGTCCCAACAATATAATGCAAATTATTTATTAAGGTAATAATTATCACTTAAGTATGTGTATGTTTTCTTTTCGTAATTATTTAAGTATTTATTTATTTATTTATTTATTTCAAATAACTTGCCCTCAATTATCCAATATTACAATCTTAGTTTAGTGAATTAAATATCAATAAAACAATACATTAAAGTGGCAGCAAATTGGAATTTTATTTTTGAACCTGTATTTGCTTTAAATTTTCCACACAATTCATCAAGCCTACCAATGACGTCATATCAGAGACTTTCAGAACAGTTTATTCTTGCCTTGCAGCCACCTTGATTACATTTCTTTTTAAGGTTTTTTAATTGAAAAAACACTTCTTTCACAAGTATAAACATGAATCGCCTGTGAAATTTAAAAGGAATTTAATTTTCAGGCACCCATTTCAATTATTTTATTTTAAAAAAATTTCATAAAAAAATTTCGGATGGTTGATATTGAATCTGGCAACACTGTGCACATCCAATGATCTGTCACATTTCAAAAATCAAAAATGGCGTGTGCGTGTTGTTCGGTCGGTGTTGTGACATCTGATTAAAAAACTGTATTTTTTCTTTATTTTTTTATCAATTTTCCGGGCGTTGTTTGACCGTCTTACCGCTTACCATAGAATACCCAGTGTCCAGTGCGTATAATGCCCCAGATACGTTTCAGGTAAGCCTCTAATTAAGCTCCAATTATTTACGTTTCATTTTAACCCACCCACATACTATTTTTGCCCCACACATGATATTTCGGTTGGGTTTTATCTCAATTTTTATCGAAAATTTACGGTTTTTGGTTGGTTTATTGAAATTATGAAAGCCAAAATTTCTACTCTCACCCCATTACCATCCCATTGTGATTGTTTAAACAAATTGACAACTGTCAGAAGGGTTTGTTATTGTTTATTTGTAGCCCTTTTCTATGGGGCTATAACTTCCTGGGGTCAAAAATTGAAGGTAGTAAAAGGGGTCTTAATTTGACCAGGCCCCCTTTTGTTAATTAGCATTTTGCCTGGCTAATAACCTATTCTATTTATAGAAGTTTACCACAACATTACAAACAACAATAAATTACTTAACATGCAATTAATATTTATGTTATTCTGTAAATAATTGCTTATTGTTACTGTACAAGGTGGACTACTTATTATTGCATTTTTTGTACAATAATCATAATTCAAAAATTGATTTATTTCCAATTACTTATAGAAGAATCCAAGTATTTGAGGCTTATTATTGCTTTAGGTGATACCTACATTATGTATTTTGGTTTATTATTATTACACCAGCTATTATTATTATTATTATTAATTAGACAAGTCATCACACATATGCAAAATTTTCATATCAGTATGTAGCATTAAATGTAAATATTGACACAATTTTAACAGGCGATAAAAATAGTACAAATTGTAATATTCTTGATACTTGTAGATACCTACTTAATCTTCCAAAAGATTTGTTTCTATAGAAAATTTATATCATGCATGCTTTCAATTATATATTTACATTGAGCATCCCAGTATAAAATCATATAAGTATTTTTATATGAAATTTCCAGATTATAGTACATTCAAGATTACAGTATACCTACACCCTGTAACTAACCACAAACACATGTGGGATGTAAGAGAACTTTTATAGGAAGAAAAAAATAAAACTGGTTTTTTAATGAGTGTGTGACAAACATTCAGAAAGTGATTTGATTTAATTTGTATCTTAACATTTTTGAGAGATCAATCAGACCAAACAAACTTTGATACAACTTGTAGAATGCCAAGTTAAACCCCATTTGTAATTATTTCACATTGTTGATAATGAAAGTTATAGGCAAACTTAAAAAAATAATCAGAAACGGTTTATAAGAGGAAAGTATTCTTAGTTTGCCACCTTCTTACTCTCAAATGGGTGGTAATTTAACGTAATTTAATTAGAAACGGGTACATACAGTCTGCATGAGAATTTTCATTTTTGTCAATGTGTTGCATTATTTATTGAAAGCCAATTAATTAAACAAATAATTTTGTCTTCAGTTTGAGAAAAAGTGGGAGAATATTTTCTTTCAACACTGGATGAAACTCCACTAATCTGAAGAGATTTTTCTTGAGATTTTCGGATTTTCCTAATTTAGGGAAAATTTGTGTTATCATTTTACTAATTATATCAAGAATTATACATGCCAAAAACATAACTACACATTGAATTTCACATTGATTTTTTAAAAAAAATACTGCTTCTAAGTTTCAATTGAGATTTAAATACAAATTTGAATAGAACATTTAACTATTTAAACTCCCTAATCCTACTCAATAAATCCTGAAAGTTTGAAGTCCTTGAAGTATTTTTCAGAGGGTTTCAAAGGTGATTTAATAGAAATTTTGTATGATTTTTTCTTTATCTAAGTGAGAAAAAATTCATAATTCAATTTCTGAGGCTGAGATCAATTCACGGTTTGTTCTGTTTTGATAAAAATAACCTACTCAGTAATGTCTGAAAATTTGAAGTCCCTCTGATCGCTTGAAGTAGTTATCAAAAACTTCCAAAGATGATTTATTAGAAATTTTGTATGATTTTTTTGCATCTAATCATCTATTGAGAAAAAAATCATAATTCCATTTATGAGCCTAACATCCATTCCCGGTTAGATCTGTTTGATAAAAAGAACTTACACAATAAAGTCTGAAAGTTTGAAGTTCCTCTGATTGCTTGAAGTAGTTATCAACAGGGGCGCATGCTGCATACAGGCCTTTTGAAAGGGGGGGGGGGGGCAGTTTAAGTTAAAGTAAGCCAGATTGGGTTAGTCTGGGTTAGTTTTGGCAACACATTGTGCAAGATACGGGTTTTCGAAGGAATGGCCCATAAAAATATGGGAATGGAAGAACTATTTCGGAGAATAAGGTGATTTTAAATAGGTAGGTACAGGGTGTTTTTTTATATATTGACATCCCACTTACAGCCTTTACGTTCACAGGTAGAAGAAAGGTGTAAATACAAAAGTTGTACAGTTTTGGCTGAATTTTTAGAAACCATGGTCAGCATCAAAATTTGAATGTCAGAAATGTGAAATTTTGCATGCTTCAAGCTTTTTTCAAATGGGATGCCCTATATTTCATTCTATATTCTTGAAGAGCACAATGCCCCGATTCCAAAAATATATAATTTGTCTATATTTGATTGAACAGTTTCTCATATATTCGGCTCCAGAAATTGTAAAAATACTATCCTACTACTGATTTGGTGAACCATTCTACCTATACAGGTGAAAGCTGCAGGTAAAATTTAAGGAACTTGGTTTCTCTGATAGTGTTTTTAAAATTTTTTGAACCAAATATGTTGGAGACGGCTCAACCAAATATAGACAAACTATATAGTTTTGGAATCGGGAAAATGTGCTCTTCAAGAATATAGAACCAAATATAGGGCATCCCATTTGAAAAAAAAACTGAAAGCATGCAAAATTTCACATTTCTGACATTCAATTTTTATTTCTGACCATTGATTCTACAAATTTAGCCAATACTTTACAACTTTTGTATTTACACCTTTTGTCTACTTGTAAAGGTGAAGGCTGTAGGTGGGGTGTCAATAAAAAACACCCTGTACTTGAACAATAACTTATTATATAAAGTCAGAATTTGTAAGATTATCCACTTTCTATCAATTTGCCTTTCAACAGGAATTAGTAATGTTACTTTACCAAACTAGTAACATAATGTGACAAGTTATTCAAGTACAAACGGGTGGATTGTTGCGGAATTTATGGGTAATGCAGTCATCTATTCATTAATACGTTGTTCAAGTACGATACTAACCTGACTCACTCAAATGTCAATTATTCTCATTAGTTCATAAACTACAAGTTTCAAGTAACTGTCTTATTTGAATAGTTCAACAGTATATTGGTGAGTAGATGGCTGCGGAACTCGCTGCGCGCAAGTACAAATGAGTGAATTGTTGCGGAACTTATGGGTGGACCTCTGCGGGACGAGCGCAGCGAGTTCCGCAGCCATCTACTCACCAATATTCTGTTGAACTGTTCATGTTGTTTAATTACGATACTAAACTGACTCACTCAAATATGCGTTATTTTCATTAGTTTAAAAATTACGTTTCAGGTGAATGTCTTACTTGAACAGTTCAACAGTATATTGGCGATTAGATGGCTGCGGAACTCGCTGCGCTCGTCCCGCAGAGGTCTACCCATGAGTTCCGCAATAATCCACTTATTTGTACTTGAACGATAACTTATTATATAAAGTCAAAATTTGTAAGATTATGAATATTCACTTTTTGTCAATTCGCCTTTCAACAGGAATTAGTAATGTTACTTTACCAAACTAGTAGCCGATCCACGGGAGGGGGGGGGGTAAAGGGGGTAATTACCCCCTCCCCAGACAGGCCTAAGAAAATTTTAAATATTGAAAAAACGCACAAATTATTTTTTGGCGGCCTAAAATGCGTTTTGGGCGTGGCACCTGAAAAAAATTTCGGCCTCCGGTGGCACCTGAGCTCCACAATTTACGATAATTACCAACAAAAATACGAGAATTACAAAAAAATACCTATATACGATGATTAAAAAAAAAATACGACAAATACAAAAAAAATTTAAGAACACGAAAAATACAAAAAATTATGAAAAATTATAAAAAATACGATGATTAAAAAATTTAAAAAAAACATGAAAAACACGAAAAATACAAAAATTTACGATAATTACAGAAAATACCAACGATGATTAAAAAAAATACGACAAATACAAAAAAATTGTAAGAACGCTAAAAATACAAAAATTTATGAAAATTATACTTAAAATACGATGATTATAAAAAAAAAACACAAAATCGTGAAAAACACGAAAAATACAAAAATTTACGATAATTACAAACAAAAATACGAGAAGTACAAAAAAATCGTGAAATATAGGTACTCGAAAAATACAAAAAAATCGTAAAAACTTGAGAAATATAAACATTTACGAAAATCACAAAAAATACGATGAGTAAAAAAAAATACGACAAATACAAAAAAAAAATCGTCAAAACCACGAAAAATACAAAAAAATCGAAAAAAACACGAAAATTACAGAAAATACGATAATTACAAAACGAACTATGGCCCTGCTGGTAATATTCTCAATGACAGATACAGCAACAATAGACTTATAGTCTCC